GGGGGGGGGGGGAGGGGGGGGGGGGGGGGGGGGGGGGGGTAGATAGATGGAGGCGGTGAGGTAGAATTTGTACAGAGAGAGAGAAGTAGTACCAGCTTGAGATTTGGGAAACAAAATGGCTGTTCATTATGTGTACTGTAGAGCGTGCAGTCACTGGCATCGACTGTCTGTGCGCACTGGCGCACGCACCTGCTAGTATCCTCCCAACAATGGTGGCACTCCTGTTGCAAATCTCTTTATGCACAGCCCTGTGGTAAGGGTATAAGGTAATCTGTTCGATAAACCCAGAGGCGTCCAAGTGGGCACATATGAGGAATATTCACAGCTACAAGGAGAGTGTCTTGTTGGGGAGGTATCCTGGGGATGAACAGTATCAACGAAGAAAATGATTTTCGTTTGTTACCTTGGAAACCGATCTGCTCCCAATGCCCGCCATATCGGGGACAATCCAGCGTGCTGCCTGTCAGCTGCTTGTAGATGGTCTGCAGGACTCGACGGTGAACTTCCTCTCTGTCCTCAAAAGGACCTGAAAGAAACAAAACAAAGTCCAAACCTGAAAACAAAAACCAGAGAGAGAAAAAAAAACCCACAAACACATAAAAATAAAGACACCCAAAAAAGACCAGTCCGATCCAGTCCGATCCAGTCCGATCCAGTCCGATCCAGTCCGATCCAATCCAATCCAGTTCAGTTTGTTTTGTTTGGTTTTGTTTCCCGTGCTAATTTCCAGTCTTTCTTCTTGTTTCGTACTTCAGAACTGAAAACTAAAAAGTTCCTCCAAAACTACTCACTGACTGGGGTGAGAAAATTACAAGACACGTTAAGCGTCACGGCATTTGGGGCTTTTCAAACTTCAGTTCATAACAAACAGTGTACATATGTGGCACTACCGCTATTGTTAAAAAAAACCCTCCCACAGTGTAAAGACAGAATGTGTCAGGGTGTTGAGTATTCCCGTTGAATGGCTAACCAACATTATTACTATGTTCTTCCTTTGCGGGTTGCACCGGGTTAAGGTCGGGAAACCAATCACTTGAGGTTAGGATGGACATTGCATACGAAACACGTGAGCTCACACTGTGCGATGGCAAAGACGAGGTTCCTCTCTTCGTGAAGGGAGGGCTTGATGTTAGGGGGACCCAGGATGAAGTGGCGGACGGCGGACAAGCCTGACCTGTGAACTGTAGGCTTGATCTTACTCTATAATTGAGGAAGAAACACGAGCAGAAGAGAGTAAGAAAGGGAGACAGAAATGAGAAACAGGACTCATGTAAGTAACTCGTTTCTAAACTCCCCAAATGATTCTATTTTGAGACGGCGACCCTCTGAATATGTTACGCCATTTTCTCGTAAATCCTGAACAATTGATGGGAAAACAATTGTGTTTAACACTGCACCCAACAATGTAAGCGGTTGCCAAGAAAAAATGTTCTTTTAGCTCAAACGTTGGCTTCTGTTGACAAGATGCCAGTTGTGACCCCGTTGTGCCAATGACAAAACCCATCCCTGTAGTACGTGCCCCGGGGTCTTAAGTCTGTTCCCGGCCATTTAAATGTCCTCACCAGATACGGCTGCATGTTGATTCTCTGAAAGAAGGCCAGTGTCTCGTTGAAGGATATCAGGGGAGTCATGTTGATGGTACTCTCGTTACCTGGAGGTTACGCGGCGAATAGGTGCAAATGTCAACATCTTGTAAAAAACTTTAACATCACCACACGTGAGAAACTTTTGTTGAGAAGCTTGGCTTTTTTAGGGTGGGGAAATCGTGTTTGACTTTGGTACTGCAAAAAAGCGTGTTGCACTTACGAAAGTGAATGTGGGTGAGCATAAAGCGACAGTGACGGATGCCAAAAAAAAATAATACAAGTTCGGGCACGGTGGGTGTCGTGGTCAACAGCAAATAGACAAAATCAGAACTTTGGTCCAGTTGAACCTTCTTCTAGCGGATAAGAGTCTTTAATCTACTTGGCTGTGCAATGCCATGCCTGGGGACACTCCCCTCCAAACCACAGTGTGAAGAGGAACCCAGTTTAAAAGCTCTTTGCCGAAGAAAGACGCAGCCACTGTGACCAACTACCGTTGACTCTACACTACCATGAAAGGTGAAAAGGTAACACCCTCCGAAAATCCTGGGCCCCACACACACAAGAATCTTGTTTGATCATCTTGTCTGCCTGAAAGTTGGGTTGAACTGACTTTTTCGGCGGTAATGCTTGGACATCAGCGTATGGCTGTTTGACATGACATAAATGCGATTCGTTTCCTTTTTTTTATTTGGAGAGTTATCCAAAATGCCAGTTCAAGGATTTGTTACACATGATGCAAAGGTGGTATTTGTGATTTTTTTTTAATGCATGTGGCCCAGACTACAACTAAAACGTCACGGCAATCAAATTTAACATTAATCATAAAAAATGTGATGAATAAAATTGGAGCACACGTTAACACTCAGAGAACAAAACATCCAATATTTGGGTTATGGCTGTGAGGGTTAACTGTGTCATTAATCTGAAAATTAATTCAACCTTAAATACTGACAACAGTTTTTTAATGGTGAAAATATCCAAAGCCCTTGTCACAGGTTTCACAGATGTCATTAACCAAAGAATAAGTAAACAAAATGACAAACGTACACAAATATTTGACTGGAAATCCCCGTAAAAGGGAAAAGAAATGTGGTACAGCAATGATATCCGTGGGTGAGTGGATGTTAGAAAAAAACCTAAAACCCATTCAATGTAGGAAGAAGTGGAAGGAACTATTGGGTAAATGTTCAAGGGCAAGCCGCCTCTGTCCTTCCACCAATCTCCCTGTGGTGAATGGGCTTTGTAAATCAAAGCAGCTGCCATAAGCCACAACTTGACTTTACCTTCCTCGCTAGAATCGTCTCCTTTTGGTGTGCAAAAATAAAAATTACAAAAATGATTACAACCTGAGGCTGCATTTTACAGAAGGACAACCTTCAAAACCCTACATACCTCAAATCTATTAAAATTGAATGCTTGACTGGACTGCAGAGAATTTAACATTTATACTCTGCATGAGGCTTACTATCTGAACTATTGTCACGTTTTGTTCATTTGTAGCAACATCCGGACAACCTACTGAACAAAAACAAACATGTTGCCCAAATTATCTTACCTGATCTAATGTACTTGGATACTGATTAAATACATTCGCTTATACTCAAAACTTATTCCATTCTGCTTTTGAGAAATTCAATGAAAGTGTTCTGAAGAATGTTTATAATCAGAATGTATTCTTTATTAAGGTCAGTTCGTACTCAACACAAATGTGACCATGAATGGGATTTCATGACGGCAGGTCAAATATTCACATTGTGAACGTGCAAAGGTTGAACACATTGCAGCTCAAGCAAATTTCACTGCAGTGATTCGTGACGTCAAATCTGGCTTGCTCTTGCATTTGCCAGAAGTTAAGAGCTGGCCTTTAGGCTGCCGTCGAAACAGTGAAATGAGTGACACAAGGAAAATCTACATTAGCATTAATGGGCATGAAGTAGAACTTTGGAGGCGTTACCTGGCTGAATAGTCCCTACCACCTCCCACTCCGCCTTCGCTCGGGCTAGCTGTTCCGTAGGGTCCCCACCCGTACCCGCCCGGTCTCTGGGAAGTTCCGCCCTCAACACGCGGCTCGGGTCATCCTCCTCTTCCTCGTCGAAACCCCTCCCATCGCCAGTCCTCAGCAGAGATGGATCCGACGGGTATCCTGCCTGCTGATGGTGTCCAACGGCACCGCTGTCTGTGCCTGCACCCTGTGATGATACGTTGGAGTCCTTGTTTACCGACCGTTCATTCAATCTCTCTCTTTTGTCTGCCTGATGCGTTTGTGCATTTCTGTGGGTGCTGTTCAAATCCTCGGAATTTCCACGCTGAGCCTGCAAAACAGTATTTTGGGACACTTTCTTTTTTTAATGCGGTGCCTTATAATACACGATGAATTACACATGGGAGGTTTTTAAAAATGCAAAAACTGTTTTTTACCTTCTTGTGGCAAGGTATTAAAACTACACTTGCCTCCTGCTGGCTACTTGTCTCGGATGAGATAACTTGATACTTGCTGGCTCTGCCCTGGGTGTCTTGGCTGTTGGACAGTTTCGCCGTGTCCTTTGAAGTCTGAAACAAGTCCACCTAAAACAGTATAGACATAAATTACAAACTTCAAAGCTACGATTCTACTATAAAATAAAAACTTTATTGTCCCATGACAAGCTTCTGTGTACACTCATGTGTACCAACAAACTGAACGTATTCTCATAAAGAGTGAATATTCAACGAAGTTGTGTTTTTTTAAAATGTTGGCAGGGTGCGGCTTTATACTTGGTCATTGGTTGTGGCTGGAAATACTGTGTGGGCCTACTATGTCCTAACTTTCTCCACTGCGCCTACTTTGTCCTGTGCCAAGCTGGGGCATGGCCAACTTTGATGACACCGTCTGGTGTGCCCAACCTTTGGTTGGAAAGAAACACTTGGTGAGGAAAAAAGGGCACAGGTGAGCAACGTGTAGTGAGAAGTTGTGCTCGGATTAAAATAGGAGAAAAAGAACACCGTAAGTAAAGAAATGACTGATTCCAAGGATAAAATGTGAGCAGTGGAAGGGAAGGGAAATGAAAAAACTAAGGAAGTCAGTGATGTCAGTTTTCACCCAATCTCATTCTGCCTACAACTTGCATGGGCGGCAAAAGTTAGCAGAAATATTGCCTTTTGGCTGGTTTTCAATTTAACCTCCAAGAGTCCACTTCGTTCAAAGTGGACAGTTGTCTCGTTTATTTTAAATAGGGTTGTGTTTTCAATTAGTAATTGGCTGTGCGGATTTTTTGAACACTTTGTGATTTCTTCTTTTACTTTTTTAAGGACGGCCAACCATAGTTTTAGCAACCACAAAACAGCTATTCAGTGACCAAAACCATGACATGAAAATATGTGAAAACAATTTTAAACAAAGTAACATCCCAATTCTTGCTATTTTATATTGATTTTTTATATACAGTTCTGATGGATGACCAAACCTGGCAAGGCCCGGCTCTGTCAGCAAGTTCAACTGTTGAGCATGCCCTAAATGTGTTCTTGGGCAGTGACGAAGTGGGGGTGTAGCATGACTACAGAGCTGGCCACTGAGCCAGCTAACAGCTTTATCTGGTTCTCATAGACTCGTGCATGGTTTTCATCTGGTGCTGTCTGGTACAGATCTGTCTCACGTCTGTATTTGGACAGCTTTTACTTTTGTACCCCTACCAAAATTGGTTACAAACACCTAAATCTTTGAAAAGAACTGTCCAATTGCTTGGCCAAATTTGTCATTTCCAGATTTATTTCAGTAAACTCGGTGAAAAATTGAAGAGAAAGTAGGCGTACCCATGAATACTTTGAGTCACCATACAGTGCCAAGAACATCCAACATAGAAAACTGGCACTTTTTCCCCCTGTAATGCATGGAGATTTCCCGATGAAAATTTGTCTTAACATTGATGATTGTGCCAAGCATTCATCTAATTTTGAACACAACTCGATATCTATTTTCAAAGATTTTACTGTTCCAAACTGACTTTGGTTGGGGTATTAAACTGAAATCTTCCCCTGTATTTTACCTTCTGGTATTTTTCCATGGAGACTCTGTAGTTGACAGCGTCCGTTTGGACATTTTCATTGTCAGCATCAATGCTTCCGTCCTGGAAGATGGCATCAAACTCGTCCTCTTCCTCCATGTTTTGATTGGTCAGTTTATCTGAAAGGAAATAAATATTATTATTATTATTATTTATTCATGCCAATTCCTTTTTCATCACGTGCAAGACGGGCGATAGCAATACTGTGGCCAACGACCTGCCACTCCTCATCAAGTTGTGTACAAAGTATATAATAATTTTTAAAAATGAGTTTCTAAATAAACAGCGCCCTTACTCATTGATACATGTCCTAGAACATAGAGGGGGAAGGAATAGGCCTACTAGGCAAGTAAAATGATTTTGGTAGGCCTTAGGTGAATAAACTTACATATTTGAATTGAAATTCACCTCTTAACGGTCACTCACAGTCCCATGGGGTGCAAAGACATGCACTAGTGACTTGCTACTTTCCAACCTCAATATTACTTTTGCTTCAGGCCTTTCTGGGCCAAAAGTTATGTGTATTTTTTGTAGGCCTAACTTTCAGAGGTGAATGCATTGAGGATCGTAAATTTGGGGACCATATTCCTAGTACAATACAAGGGAAGGCTACATTTTAACTTTTGAATTCACCTTGGGAGATGGCTGTGAGTGTGACATCATGCTCAATTAATGTAGGGTTAATGTTGTAAAACGGGGCAGGGATTTGAGGGAAATTTTGAGAGGAAACTGTGACAGTGTTTCAACACGTGCCACATGCTTGCATGGTTAGTTTATCAGTAAGAAAGTCACATTTTCTCACAATTGACAATTTGAAATTTCGAAAAAAAATAGGGTCAGCGCTATAAAGAGAGCGTTGCCTTTGTTTTTTTTTGTGGGGGGACCTACCAGTTTTGCAAGATTAAAATGTTAAAAAAGTCGGGTCCCCAAGAATACAATCCCCAATGCATCTGCGTAGGCTAGGCCTGGCTAGCCACACCATACTCACACAAATCATGACAACTGTCAAAACAGGAGTCTAAATTCTATAACACTGATGACACAATTACTGGCAACGTCCAATATACCTTTGAAATGTTGGCAACAGAGACAGAAACTTCTGCAACAGAAGAAAACATTTGTTTAACCAAAATCCCAAAGATCAGCGCCAGGAATTTTAAGCGGTATCATCACTAGGCACGATACGGTCTTGCTACGGACTCGTGCGCTGTTTTCGATCGCGATCGCCTGCTACATGGTTTGGACTCCAACCCCCGGCCCCCTGCGCCCAGGCTACATACATTAACAACAGAGGGCGATATACAACAACCACGCCACGAGGACAAGTTTCTCACAACTCGTCAGTCCCATTTTTTTGGTCAACTGTCCAAACTTTGTGAAGTACCAATTGTTTGAGGCAGGCCATTTTTGTAGCCACATACCTCACTTTAAGCATACCTAACTTTGATAATCCAGCAGAACTGAGTGCAATAAAGAAGTTCATGGAAGGTTCCAAAGCCTAGGGGTGTGTAGCTATGGAGGGGGGCACAGGCATCTTATGGGGGGGGACCAACTTTCAGGGGCGTGTTTTTTTTGGGGGGGGAGGGAAGCTTTTGTTAGCCTTGTTCAATATCCATTCATCCGATTTTGAGTGTGGGGGGGCACATGACTGAGGGGGGGGGGGCACTGGGAATTTGTAGGGGCACTTCCCCCCCGGCTCTCCGTGACTACTCCACTGGGGGCGCACTAGTCTCTCTCAAGAAGACACCACTTCCCACAAACACGTGGACCGTCGTTGGACAGTCGGCGTTATGATCTTTGTGCATGCTGGCGGGATCCTGTGCCGTATTTGACGACTTGGATCAGCATACGCTGAATACGTGGCGCTGAATACGCAGTTGTGCCGGTAATTGTTCTACGGGGACGGTATCTCGGTGTGAGAGAGATTTGTAGTTGAAATCCGTTCTTTGTTTAACATTCAAAAAAAAAATTGCCTAATTTTTTTGGAGCCATACAATTATCATCATTTAATCAAATTGATGTAATAGGGATAGGATACGCTTCTTGTTGTTCCCTCAGGTTCATCACGTTGAGGTTTACCTTCTAACTACGCGAGTTGTGATCACAGATCACTGGCAGCGGAAGGGGGGGTGCAGTAGTCCATGGCCGTGTCTGAAACGGGCTTCCAGAGCTATAAGTCTAATGTCTTGGTGTCTCAACGTATTTCCTATGGAGCGAAGTCCCAGACCTAGCTCTTGACAACAGATTTGCCACCTCCTTCTCCACCGCTGGATGAGAGGTCTATCAGGTTAGAAAAGCCAGACTTTGACCCTGTAGGCCTACATACTGTTTATGTTGATATCAGTATCATATATGCGTATCGCCGACTGTGAAGCATTCAGCCCATAAATACGGACATTGAAACACCAGTTACTGCGAGACTCTTGAACACGAAGCACTAATACGGGCGATTCACAATAGTGCGCCCCCAAGAGTTTGCAACGCGTTGACAGTGACAGCGCGCGAAATCTGTCGACCCAATGCACGTTTGGAAGGGTCGACAGATCATTCGCGCACTGAGATTGATCAACGCGTTGCAAACTCTTGGAAGCGCACCATTGTGAATCGACCGTATTGCACGTGATATCAGTCAAGATAATTCTAGAACTGTGAAAGTCAGTAACTCCTGTACCCTGTGTTGGTGGCATCCAGTTACTCGTTAAGCGGTACTTGTTCTTCGGTCTTTGTATCTTCCGGATCCGACGGAACCGACGGGTCGCACGTCTGCAGCTCAAAATCTGCCTCATGGTCGCTGTGCTCTTCTTGATCAAGCTTTGAAGGAGGAAGGTTGACGACGCAACGGAAGAAATCATACCGTTTGGGGATGGTGCCCTTCTTGAACAAGTAATCCAGGGAATAAGATACCACCAGAATGGTTACCAGTGACGACAACATCGCCAGAGTCTTGTAGGGGAAAAGCTGAACTTCCTCCTCCTCGTCATAATAGGGATATTTGATGAGGGCGGGTATGCCAAGGACATGATCACCCCCGCCAAAACGCAGGACCAAGGCCACGATGTAGGCTAGCAAAGAGCCGTACGTGTTGCACTTGGAGAAGTGTATTACGCACAACAGCTGAGGGAACAGCACAACGTAGACAAAATCGGAGCAAAAGACAAAGAGCCCGTAGATGGAGGTGATGGACAGGCCGAGAACCGTTGCTATGACACCAGCAACAACGATGCTGGCCCGCATCACCCACGCTAGCTCGCGTTTGCCAGCCTGTGTGCAGAGGAACAAAGCAGACGAGAAAATACTGCTGGTGAATGGGTTTTCTCTGAAAACACGGCGGTATTTTCCAATGGCCTGTAACATTTTTGGGGTTGACTGGCAAGGGCTAAAAATTGAGGAGGCTCGAAAGAATTTAAAGGGTTGGAAAAATAAATTCAACATAATCTGAGGGAGGTTAGGCTTTCTGCTGTTTTAAAGCTGGCATAATTATCAAGGAGAGCCAGTGATCCTGAGGAGAGCCTGATCTGCGATGATCCCCCTGGAATAAGTCAGATGATTCCCCCTCCCCCCAAAAAACCTTGAATTATACCCGAGCACGGAACAGCTTCTTGTAGATGTTGTGGGTAAACATGGAACTGGCGGAGAGAATCGAGGAGTCGGTTGATGACATGACGGCAGCTGACACAGCCCCCAGACCGACGAAGGAGACGGCAGGAGGGGTGAGATACTGGACCACCAAGGGGAGAATAATGCTAGATTGACCATAGGGGTCGGTCTTTTCAAGATCAATGGCCGTATCGTTCCAGTCTGTTAAAGAGAATAAGCAGAAGACAAACTCTGTGTTTAAATCTCGGATCCCTGAGCAGCACATCTAGAATGAAAACTTTTTTTATACGTACTTCTCTTATGAAATTAATGTCAAATTTTGTGAAGACCATAATTTTTGTTTGATGGCGAAACAACACAATGAACATAAAAACATGCAAACAGCGAACCGGCCTGGCATAGATAATAAACTCATTTCAAATTGTTGTCTATATTGGGTCGGCAGTCAGTGGCACCTGACTTCAAGGGAGCGGGCGTCATGATGCTCCGCCTACTTACTTGTGCTCGCCCCCACTGCACCAATAAGAACCGAGGGAATGACCATCACAACGCAGCCAAGGGAGGCGACGAAGGATATGATTTGAGCTTTTCCCGGGGTCTTGCTTGAGAGCACACGTTGGAAGTACGCCTGCCACGGTATGCCGCCGAACATCTGTACGGGCCAGAGCAAAACATTAATAATATGCAGTGGTTTGATCAATTAAAAATCGCTCACATGAATTGCTTTCCATATAATGACCCGCCAGATACAGAATATGACCACTTCTAAAATGGTTTTTCCACTTAACATTTGGTCCATAAATCTGAACCTTTAACAGTTTTGGGGTACTTTCGCTGGCCGGTTACCATACAGCGACTACGCCCTTTTAAATTTGGAAAAGGGCAAACTTTTTTGACCAAAGGGTTCAACGATGATACAAGATTGGCTGAGTTTCACAGAAATTTAAATTAAATGTGTCACGAAAAGAGGCCAGCAAGGTGCTTTGGACTTACAAGCATCAGGGCGGACTCGATCCACAGTCCAGCTTGATCTGGTTCGATGGTGCCCAGCCATTCCGAGGCGGTTGACCCGATCGGCTCCACCGCCTCGTTGGTCATCGCAAAGGGAACGCAAAACCACTGAAATCATGACCGGGGAAAGCACTGGCTGTGACATCGCTCGCGTAAACAGTTTGTACAAAATATAAGCATTGCTAACATTTTTGAGATTTTAACAATAGATGATACAGTTGTATAAATTTTTTTCGACAATTTCAATGAAAACTGTCGAAGGAAATGAAGTTTTACAAATGCGCAGAATGACGCACTTTACCAACTCGGGGATAAACATCATTTTACATTTACAATCTTGTTTTCAGAAATCTTAATCTGCTAATTTTCCACTGATTAGATACATTTTTCTTCAAACTATTAGGGCATAACTATTCATATAAAATCCATTCCTCTATATTCATATCATTCACTTTTTGCTGGGAAAAAATAGAACATAAAACTTCGAAAATGAAACTTTAAAAAAATACAGCGCAATTGTCCGGATTTTTTCCTCAACCGGCGACAGCTACATTTAAAATTGTCTGAGTTGATATTTTTGCAACTTACCAAACCAAGAAATATGCAAATGAGCTGGATAACATCAGTGTATGCCACCGAGTACAAGCCGCCCAGTAATGTGTAAAAGACAGCGATGCACGCAGACACGATGACAGACAGTGTCATGTCCAGATCAAGCACCACACTGACGGTGGACCCTGTTAACACAAGCAAAAGGATCCGTTTAGAGTTTGGGCTGGAGCAGGGATTATTCAATAGACGTGTAGATACCATGCCTATGGGCCTCAAGCTGGACCGAGAGGGCGCTATTTTCTTAGCAAAGAATGCGAATTTGGTCACGAACGGCTACCAACAAAACGAACACTTCTGACCAACGCAGGTCTTTTTAACCGATGAGGGGTGCTTCTGCTCGAGGTGGATAGGGCCTAGTTTGAGGATTAATGGAGTATCGTAGGTGCGCCATTAAAAACAAATACCACATTCACGCGCACAAGAAACAACCGATAAGAATCTCTCAAAATGTTCAGACTTTGGAAACGCTTAAAAAGCGGGCCTATAGATAGAGTTCATAGACAGCGTCTGACGGCACCATGCAATGCTGTGGAATTGAAGCTTGTATCTTGTGCGAAGTTTATGGGCTTAAGAACATACCTTTAAGGTCTATATGGAAACTTAATTTTATGTATTTTGTGGAATTTTGAATCTCCTTGATGGAGTCAAAATAAGTGATGTGGAAGGCACTTGAAACAACACGAACAGATCATTTCTTGAGATCCGCCCACTTCACATTGGCCAATAACGGTAACTCTCTGCAAGTCTTAATGCGCAATATAGTGATCAAATCATTTGCTATACCAAGAGCGTTCAATATGGCAGCGGTCCAGAAGATTTCTCCCGTCAGAGCAGGAATGAAGAGCAGCCCGCCCATGCGGGAGCCGTACTTGAGCTGAAAAGGATCCAGCATGGTGACGTAGCCCTTCGAACGCATGGTTTTGGCAAAGAACAGGCCACCTGTTTCAGAAGACGAGATACCAAAATTACGGTGAAATGTATTGGAGCTGGTACAGAGGAAGTTTCTCTTAAATATGTGAGAAACTTTTGCTCACTGGCGTAATGTCACCAAGTGGAAGAGCAACGAATCTCCAAAGTACGCAACATTTTACGACAGCAGAATGTATACATCCTGGCGGCCTTTAATGCAGAAAAATAATGTAACTGTAACCTTGAGGTTTCTAACTTAGATAACATCACGATTTTGCTGAAATGCAGAATGTGTATCAACGTGAAAACCAAGGAGGCACCAAATTGTCAAAAGCGGCACATAAATTTGATACTCAGATTAGTAAAGGGCATACAGTGAGAACCATTTACAGGAACTGCATTAAAAGTTGCATCGCAAGAACCCTTCAGACTGCACGAATTGTAAACATTCACAACATACTGGCAATGTTTCAGTTGGGTGCAAGCTAAACTCCTGTCTCGGTCGGTCGTCTTTTTTCACCATCAAGATGTTTGTCTCTATTATTTTAGCTGCAAGGGGGAAAAGTACTTTACCGAGAACGAGGCTCGTCGCATAACCCCAAATAGCCTGGGTCCACACCAGCCCAGAATTCTTGTTCGCTTTGAAAATGTTCTCGGCTGTTCCATTGATGTAACCTCCTCCCACCCAAGTGGCTTCAGAAAAGAAAAGTGCAAAACTGAGTGTTACGGGCAACGCATTTGTATATGACATCTGGTGCATATGCACTGATCTCCATTGGAAAGTCTTTTTTATTGGAGTCAGTGTGCAAATGCAGGCGATTCACATTAGTGCGCCTCCAATAGTTTACAAAGCGTTGGCCAATCACAACGCGCAAAATTTGTCGACCCTTCCCAAACACGCTTTGGGTTGACAGATTTCGCGCATCGTGATTGGCCAATGTGTTGCAAACTTTTGGAGGCGCACTAATTTGAAATGCCCGTATTCTTTTGTTACCGAGACATTTTTCCAGTCTATCATACTGTCGAGACAATAATAATTATCCCTTAACCCTGAAAGAATCAACATTTTTTTTCAACAACGCAACAGTGCTTTTGTTCGGGACTTAAGCCTTTAGAAGAGAACTCTTTGCAGTCAAGTTGACACCAATTTTACGAAAATCGAGCATACCGTTCTAGCGCAGCGCGTATTTTTTCCAGATGGGTCAGCCAAAAACATTTAGTTTTTCCACTGCGGTGCTTAAGGCACGCAGGCTGGCGCATGTAGCCTTGTACTTCAAATGACAGAACAACAAAACCTTATGGCCGATTGAGTTCATAGTAATGATAAGATGTATCTTTACGTGTATATCAAGTTAAGGAAAACTCGAGCGAGGCACACCCAAGATCGGGGAAGGGCCAAAATAACCCGACTCTTTTAAGGCTAAACAAATCGACTGTTGAGGGGATCTTAGGTCATCACATGTCACGCCCCCAAAACGGGTAGAAGTCCTCCCGTTTCTGAAAATTATCGATAACATTCGCAGTTTTCGATCTCTTGTCGGTAATATTCGAATATTGTTGTGAATATTTAGAAATATCGACAGTGTATAGCATTTCTGTCTTCTCTGATTTTCCAATGAGGAGAATTTCTATGTTCAGGAACCATGCTAAAAACTTGATTAACTTTGGCCCGAAAGATTAAACGCAAATGAATCTGCTTTAGAAAGCAGCGACTGATTTATTTGGGGCTATATGAAGTTTGGGGAACTAAATGGAAGCACTGATAACCACGGCACTCCGGCAGGTCAGGTGAGTTCGGTATTTCAAGAAAGCAAGCTCATTCGGGGTCAACCACGCGTGTGAGTCCGCATACGGCCGCACTGATAGGACAGATCTCGTACGCGCGTCTGAATGACCTTGGATGCGCTTCATTCTGGCCATGCACATGTAGAACCTACCAGTCATGGTGAAGATACCAACGAATAAACCGATGTTCCTGCCAGCTAACATCGTCTGCTCCTGGTCCTTGGAGCCTCTGCTCTTGCGGGAGGCCCATAACCCAACGAAAAGGATCAAGAGATAGAAGACGAGGATACCAGCGACGCCACCCCAGTTTACGGCCATCTCAAGCTCTCGGTACAAATCAGAGGTCTACCAGTTAGCGTGAGGACACTTTAAAATGACATCCAAACCAAATCATGCACTAACTGGTAAAAAGAATAGCACAAAAGTTCGTACTCAAGGCCTACTCGTCTCCTTGACGTAATGCAAAGCACACGCAGCAAAGGTGCCGATAGACGGCAGAGTTGAGGAAATAATAACGTGATTGCTCCTTATCCACGCAAATCCACTTACATTTTGTACTTTAAACTGAACGCCAATTTCTTCTAGCTGCTATTAATGTCACGGGCAAAGGTCCCCAAAGGTCGGTATAGGCCTGCAGTTATTTCACGAGAACGCGGCGTGATTATTATGGTCTCCAGCGAGGTCGTGACCAGTGTTTGCATCACCGAAGATGAGTGGGTAATCATTTTTTTATGAACGACACTATCAATATAAATATCGAAACAAACGAACACACAAAAACGATTTAACCCAAAAATTAGACTGCTTTCCAGTGTTCACTTGTGCGGAGAATAATTGACAGTGATACACACAAGAGCGCGACATAACGCCTGCAGTGTCTTTGATCCAGATTTGCAAATCGACTTAAACTCGGGGCCGACCGGCGAACTTAACACGCAGAAGACAAAATTAGGAAGTTTAAGAGGTCAACTTGTGGACATGAGTTTCAGTTCTTCTTTGACCCATACCAAGGGGTGTACTTGGAGTTTCACGAATTGATAATTATGCAACTGGCAGTGAAAATAAAGTCCCGTAGGCCAAACGGTGGGGAGGGTAAAGGAATGCCCTTTCAGGTGCCGGGGTATAGCACGAAAAATTAACATCATGTGCCAAATAATCTCTTAAAGTGTCAAATCTATCTACCATTGGCCAATTTTATTAACTATCGATTGTTAGTTCCCTTATACTAAGCGATTCCCAAATTACAACAAAACACACACACCCACTAACATCTCAAAACTTTTCCAAACAAGCCGCAAACATTAGCTATCTGAGAGCGATTTTAGACCAATTTAAGAATACACTTCACCTGTTATGCAAATATAAAAATCATATCATCTCCTTCCAACACGTTACATAATATTAAAAAGGAACAAAGGAAGACTGCCAAAACTGACTTTACCATACGTCCGTATATAATTCAAAACCCAAACAGATCCCATCATCGATACCTTCATTATTATCGATACGTTCATTATTATCGATACCTTCATTATTATCGATACCTTCATCATAAACTCACTTAATTATTTTAATATTACGCAGTCCAACCAGATCAGTTTTCCCGCAAAAAGTAAACCTATATCGGACAGAGTCTCTGTAACGGAAGCGAAGGTCTTTGTGATTTTGGGGCCATATTGATATGACAGAGACCACATGTACGCTATATGCAAACCAAATATTTGACATTTTCTTCTAGAAACCTGTAATTCAGTGTGCATGTTAAACTCCAGCACACGAGCTAACTTTCGTCAGCTTGAGCAGTTGTGCTATTTTTCGGGGTTCATTGGTAAAACGATTCCACGCTTTCGTGGAAAGTGCCTTTTTTTACCACGCTAAATTCAGTTTATGTGGGTGTGTGTTTGCAGGGGGGGGGAGAACACATGACACACATGCATATCGTTTGAGGTCTGTTCTTTCGATAAGTATAGAATTTGTAATAAGTCCTGTGCCCCGTGCTTATGGTAAGGATCTTTAATCCTTGTATGTTACTTCTTCGTCAGCACACACACCTCCCAGATTCGACGGGACCACTGGCTCGCACCTTTTCAAGTCAAAATTTGCCTCGTGGTTGCTGTGTTCTTCCTGGCTGAGCTTTGCATGGGGAAGGTTGACGAAGCAATGGAAGAAATCGTACCGTTTGGGGATGGTGCCCTTCTTGAACAAGTAATCCAGGGAATAAGACACCACCAGAATGGTTACCAGTGACGACAACATCGCCAGAGTCTTGTAGGGGAAAAGCTGAACTTCCTCCTCCTCGTCATAATAGGGATATTTGATGAGGGCGGGTATGCCAAGGACATGATCACCCCCGCCAAAACGCAGGACCAAGGCCACGATGTAGGCTAGCAAAGAGCCGTACGTGTTGCACTTGGAGAAGTATATCACGCACAAGAGCTGAGGGAACAGCACAACGTAGACAAAATCGGAGCAAAAGACAAAGAGCTTGTAGACAGAGGAGATGGACAGGCCGAGAACCGTTGCTATGACACCAGCACCGACGGTGCTTGCACGCATCACCCACGCTAGCTCGCGTTTGCTGGCCTGTTTGCAAACAAGAAGATATTAAAAGAAACACCAATGGAGAATGGGTTTCCGGGGAAGTATCTTCGACAATGATCTTGTTATATTACCCTTAATGGCTTTTAGATCTTTAGAGTCAGGTTAATTAGAAAGGATTGAAAATTGAGGAGGGTCGAAATAATTGGGGGGGGGGGTAGATTAGCTTAAACCATACCGTTCTTTCAAACCTGGCATAAAGAAAAAAACCCAAACAATAGTGAAAGCAGCAATAAAACAAAATACAAAATCCGGCAATTAAAGACATGAGGATAACCTATTTGATTTGCTGACGGTGATTCCAGAATAACACACACAGCTTCATTATGATCGTCGAAATGCGACAATCATTATCCAGATGACGTAAGAAGGGTGCACGGCTTCACAATACAGTGACCCCAAAATAGTCGAAGTAACCCCAACTCTGTGGAGTTCGGTTCAAAGTGAGGCATTTTTGTGCGCATTACCCGAGGACGGAACACCAGCTTGTAGACGTTGTGGGTGAACATGGAGCTGGCGGACAAAACCGAGGAATCGGTCGACGACATGACGGCCGCCGACACGGCCCCGAGACCGATGAAGGAGACGACAGGAGGGGTGAGATACTGGATGACCAACGGGAGTATAATGCTAGAACGACGATACGGGTCAGTCTTTTCAAGGTCAAGGGTCGTTGCATTCCAGTCTGTAGAGGAGAGAATAGTATTATGCCATGGGACAAAAATCGTGGCACTTTTTAATATCGACACCGGCAAACGCCATTTATGACATTAATGTATTAAATGTGTTCACACCGCCCCGCAGGAGAGCAGCTGCCAGAATCGGTACTCGTATCTGCTGTCGCAAGTATGTGACTTTTCAAGGGAAGGAGTTCACCACGCCCACTTACTTGTGCTCGCTCCCACTGCACCAATAAGAACCGAGGGAACGCCCATCACAATGCAGCCAAAGGCGGCGACGAAAGACATGATTTGAGCTTTTCCCGGGGTCTTGCATGAAAGCACACGTTGGAAGTACGCCTGCCATGGTATGCCGCCGAATATCTGCATGCAAGTACATGTACATGTAAACATTCACATTTACACTGTGGTCACATGGATTTCCCTGGCAGTTTGATCCTCAGCTGACAGAAAACGAGAGCACCTGACGGGTTGCTTGTTTTACTTTAAAGGAAATCAAGTATGCTAAAAAATATAAGCAGGTGCTGAGATATGGATATGTTTCGAGGCATGAATATCTTTTGGGGGAAACTTATGCATTTCAAATACAATATCACCATCACAATTCCGATTTTGGAGATGACCCAAGATTGAAGATTTGATCAGACGGTTAGTTCAAGTTCACAATGCAAGACTGGGCGATTTTGTCAAAGAAATGAATAACGAAAGAAGCCACAAAGTAAATGCCTTCGGACTTACAAGCATCAGGGCGGAATCTACCCACAGTCCAGCTTGGTGAGATTCGATTGTGCCCAGCCATTCCGAGGCGGTTGACCCGATCGGCTCCACCACCTCGTTGGTCATCGCAAAGGGAACGCAAAGCCACTGAAATCGTGAACCGCGAGAAGCAGGACGAGGACAATGAACTTGCATCAATCATAATAAACGCATATTTTGCCCTTTACAAACTTGCTCTTTATAAATCTGAATCCGCACAAGTTTCCTACTGAAGCATTCTATTCAATCTCTAAAGTACAAGTACTATCCAAAATTACTTTCTTTTTAGTTTTTCGTATTCAGGTTTAGGTTTCTCTGGAGATCATATAAGGATTAAATTAAAACAAAAGAAATACAACGTAACTGTTTTTTATCTTTCTTCATTGATACGGGTTTATACAGACTTTGTTTTCACAACTTACCATGCCAAAAAATATGCAAATGAGTTGGATAATGTCAGTGTATGCCACCGAGTACAAGCCACCAAGTAACGTGTAACAGACAGCGATGCACGCAGACACGATGACAGACAGTGTCATGTCAAGATCGAGAATCACGCTGACGGTCGACCCTATTCAACACAAGCGATCGTAAAAGAGAAGTCTGGAGTGCGGTTAGGAGTTGCTTAGTTATTCTGTACAATGCAGGATCTCCTTAACGGAGATGAAAAGAGAGATGGAAGACACTCGTGCCATTCCCAATCTGATCTTCTCAAAGCAGCTGTTACAGTGTAAAAGCAGCTACCCCCCCTAAAAAAAACCCCGCATGCAGAAAGTATAAGTACCTAGAGCATTCAAGATGGCAGCCGTCCAGAAAACGTCTCCTGTCAGAGCAGGAATGAAGAGCAGCCCTCCCATGCGGGAGCCGTACTTGAGCTGAAAAGGATCCAGCATGGTGATGTAGCCCTTCGAACGCATAGTTTTGGCAAAGAACAGACCACCTGTTTCAGAAGACGGAGGGTAAATAGAGAATGCTATTTGGTGGATCTGTTCTTTTTTTCAAAGTATGAATTAAATTATTTTCCCCACCGTATGAATCCGCATGTTGAAATGTCAATTGCTTAGTGTCCCTTGAAAAGAAGACGATCTATCGACAAACAGGGCTGGTTATTGCTTGCAGCTGCTTAGATGAGATCGGAGTCGGTATCTCCCAGTTTCGGACTATACGTGGATCACAGACAGAACACTGGTAACATAAAATTTCAATCAGCCACTGATTAAAATCCTGTCTCATTCAACCGTGTTTCTTTTCTTTCAACGTGCAAGATGAAAAGGCACTTTACCGAGAGCAAGGCTCGTCGCGTAACCCCACACAGCCTGCGTCCACACCAATCCAGAATTCTTGGTCGGTTTGAAAACCTTCTCCGCTGTTCCGTTGATGTAACCTCCTCCCACCCAGGTGGCTTTGAAAAAGAACAACCAAGGGACATTGAACATTATGACGTCTACTGCATGTTTATATTAACTCGAATTTTTTTTGTCTAGATACATGAATTTGTATATCGTCAATTTTTAGAATGACACCACCTTGAGAAATCCATTCAATCTTGTGTTGATCAGATAACTGAGTTCGCCAGCCCCAAAACAAATCGACCGTTTACACAAAACTACTTGCCCGCCCTCTTTCGTTTATTGTCCAAGGATTATCCGCCAACATCTTTTGCACTTTAGGTTATTGCACTATGGCTTGCAATCCCTTTATCGGTCAGGTCAAATCATCATCTAATTAAGATGTTCAATAGCCGACAAAATTGCGCCGCTCCATGCCGTCGTCCCGACGCCACGACGTGACGCTACGAAGGCTCCGTGGCGTCGTGCCGTAGGGTCGTAGCATCGCCTCCTTTCTCACTGCTTTTGTGCTGTGTATAATGCTTTGCCTCGTGCCGTAGTGGCACCGCGTCGTGTGGTCGTGTCGTTGCGTCGTGCCGTTGCGTCGTGTTGTTTGTTGATGCTTCCGCGTTGTACCAGCGCGCCTTGCCGTTGTAGCGTCGCGTTGAGCCGTCGCGTCCTGATGTCGTCGTGTCGTGCCTTACTGTTTCTGAAAATGGCAGGTAATTATCACGGCCAATAGGGAGCCTATGTAACAAGTCCTGGAAGAATAATATGCGTGCATATGGGCCTTCAAGATATAATAATGTGATGGTATCTATTGGTATGGAACTTAGCTCTGTCTCTAAGGACGCCCCCTATTTCCAGCAGTAATGAGGCGACGGCGAGGGCACGATGCGACGGCACGACGCGACCCTACGACTCCATGCATTAAACACAGCATAAAAGTAATGAGACGGAGCCGTCATGGCGTTGCGTCTTGGCGTCGGGGCGGGGGCGACGGCACGACACGATGCAATTCTGTCGTCTATATAGAACACCATATCTAATGGTACTTACTCAGTCAAAATAAATGAAGACGAAACTTGATAATTTTACTCTCAGGCTCCCCCAAGGAGTCTTTGGTAATGAATGGCTGCACTGTGAAACACAGAACTTCAGTCCAGTTCGATTGCTTGTCTTGGCCCCCAAAAGCTCAATTGTGTCGATGACAGGCTGTGTACAGTGCGCCCTCTAACGACTCAATGATCATACCAGCGCTTGCTCGAACAGTCTTATTTGGAATCTCGTCGGAGTGCGTTCGCGCGGTTAGTCCTATGAATACGAGTAGGATGCGTGCGCGTTACACTCGGATGCAGGAGTATAGGCCTTTTTACCCACGTGACTGGATTGTAATGTAAACAATACCACCACGTGTGGACCGCCTTGGCCACGGTGATCGTATATATTCCTCCGGGCAGCTTCAACCACGTGCGAGCGCACGTGCAAACGCTGCATGCTTGACTAAAAATTTCTGCCAGGCGTACAATGCTCTACACAAGCGGCGGTTATCAATTCGATATTTTTCTTTTTCTTTCTCATTCCTGAAAATATTCTCACAACGCTTTATTCGTTGATCCAAATCTATCAAGATAACCAATTATTTGAAATATATCGCCAAAACACAGGTGATCAGTGATACTTAGTGAGAAGATAAGTTGCAACTCAGAAATTGTACCAAGGTCATGTTTTTATCATATAGCCAACACTATGCAATTGCGATTGGCGAACCCAAAAATTTAAATAACGCCTCTCTAACGGGAAGTGATAACCTCGCGGTCACAGGTCGTGCACAATGTAGCCAATCACAGTGCAAAGCCATCAGCTCTTCCTAGCTACCTGTGCGGGCGCTGGGCGACGAGCGAATTTTACGAGATCCCTAGGGCGTAAGTGAAAGAACGTCAAAAATAGTTGTGTGAGGGCGCTGTACTACAACATCGAAAATCCCCTTCAATCACTGACGTCATCAGTCAAGACTATTCCATCGCACACTATCCCCATAACGTGTATGACAAAGCAAAAATTTCCCCTGGTAAAACGTACCAGTCATAGTGAAGATACCAACAAACAAACCGATGCTCCTGCCAGCTAACATCGTCTGCTCCTGGTCCTTGTAGCCTCTGCTCTTGCGGGAGGCCCATAACCCAACGAGAAGGATCAAGAGATAGAAGACGACGATACCAGCGACGCCACCCCAGTTTACGGCCATCTCAAGCTCTCGGTACAAGTCAGAGGTCTACCCGGTAGGAATATCGTCCCTGCGTTTCTAATATTACATAAAAAGTTTAATGCGGAAAAACACCTGCAGTGAAATGTGTTCTGTATCACTCATTGCCCATACTTCCACTTTTGCAAGTGAAAAAAGTACATGGGGGGGTACGCATGTCAATGATCAACGTGAATCCTGGTCTTGATACTTAATGGCCTCATTGTTTTATTCCCAGAAATTAAACAAAACCTTATGATTTTCGATTTAAAATCCTTTGCCACGTGAAAATCATTATGTGTCCTGCCATCGGCGCAGTTTATTCCATGTTATAATTCATTTTTACCATGCAAATTATTCTTCATGGTTTAAGCCAATGAAATTATCTTGAATCTTTCCATGCATGTGAAAACCATAAACGTGTATCGCCCACTTATATTCTGAGCTGTACTAAATAAGCTACGCAACAAATCCTAATCCATCGATCTGAACGTATGGAACTAGTATTAAATCGTTAAAACATCTATTTTTTTCGTTATCATGGTGTTAGTCTCCTTCCAACAAAAAAAAGTTCCTCCTATGCACGTGCATTTTTTTTACTTCATTGCAGTGTTGAGCAGATTCATCAGATTTCTAAAGTAAAGGCAAGGAGAGAGTCCGCCGTTAATTAAAGATGCACTGTCCGCGCTTTCAAATTGAACTAATAATTTTTCTGGAACTGCAATTGTTATGAGCACTGTAACGAGACAACACTCGAAGCAACTGGTAGAGAATCACACAATTAATTTCAATTTTTGAATGTCCTACTCCTTTTGACTGGCAGTTTTTGCGATCGCAGTTTATGAAAGACAATCTCACAACACATTGCGGGTATATATAATAAGAAGAACCATTTATGCTTTACGGCTCGCTCGCACATCTGGATTGGACAAGTCGGAAAACGAGTGAAAGTCATGTTACTAAATAGATACAAATAGTTGCAGAGATTTTGCTCTGAACTGTTGAGCTATCATTCACTTCAGAGTAATACTGCAGAGCTCTAACTATAAAGGGTCTATAATATATTCCCTCATGCGTTGGGCAATTTGTGGACAACTAAATCAAATTGTCTTTCACGAATACGTACAATAAACGTATGAAATTGTTTGAAAAAGTGCAACTATGAGGCAATGAAGACAAATTAAACGTAGGATATGAAAGGTTGTACATTTCAGAGACGACATGGAAGTTAACCATAATGAATTTTAACGAAACAAGGCTGAAAATGGGCGGAAAACCTACAGAATGACGAAGAATCTTCAATGGTCAATAAGAACTCATGAGAACCCTGCCTTTACAAAATTCACAAAATTTTCAAATTAGATATTTCTAATTTTCTAAATTTCTAAGTTTCTAAATTTCTAAATTTTCTAAGTTTCTAAATTTACCAAAGTAAAGAGAAAGTCCACCCTTGCACAAAATTTTCAAATTAGATATTTCTAATTTTCTAAATTTCTAAGTTTTTAAATTTCTAAGTTTCTAAATTTCTAAATTTTCTAAATTTCTAAGTTTCTAAATTTCTAAATTTTCTAAATTTCTAAGTTTCTAAATTTCTAAATTTTCTGAGTTTCTAAATTTACCAAAGTAAAGAGAAAGTCCACCCTTGCACGAAGGGCATAAAAAAGGATCTAAGCAATCTGCCCGAGACAAGCAAATTTAGAAATAAAGAGTCAGTGTCCAGGTGCCGGAAAAACGGCCGACGAAAAGTAAAGGCCGGTGGTCTTCCCTCTCAGGGTCGGCAATTTATCAGAGGCAAAAGAAAAGAAAAGAAAAAAAGCCTCGAAAACATGAGAACATAAATCATGCGCTTTCACTTTATTGGTCAGAAAAGCACGGTGTGAAAAAAAAATTAAAGATATTTTACCCGTCTCTTTTGGCGTTGTGCAAAGCACACCCCGTGGAGGCGCTGGTAGACGATGGGCTTTGAGAAATGAAGTGACCGCTCTTTTTCTAAACAAATCCACCGATGTTTGGTACTTTAAACGTAAATTTCCTGTTCCTGCTGTGAGTGCCACACGCAAAGGTTCACAAACCCGATCAGGACAGCTTCTCCACGAGTGACCGAAAAAAGAAACTGGGGCTTACACTCAAAACGCACGCTCCGAGCCCTCGGTTGTCGGTGCTAGTGATACGGCTGGAATGGAGAACCAGAAAAAAATGCTAATCCTCAATAAGTTACCAGCAAGGTCTGCAGAGATGTTTTTTTGACCCACCACGCTATGGGGGCGAATAAAACCGTCTGATTGGGCCAAATTCACATGATGTCATGCATGATTCATGAGAGAGTTTCGACTCGGAAGCTAGCCGCTGCTGGGGCTGTACTCGCGTTTTACTCTCTAACGTACTGTACATGTACACCCATAATATTATGGAACGCCAAAGAGGCAAAAACTTGGAGGCAGCACGTCGATCGTTCTTCATTATCGATCGTTCCCTACATCGACCGATCGATCTCTCTTGATCGACTCAGAGCGATGGAGAAAGAGCGACGATAAAAGACCGATGAAGCTACATCGATGCCAACGTTACGCAACCCCTCCCAGTACCGCATAAAGCACGTGTTCCCTGTAACCAGGTATAGGTATACCTGTAACAGCCCACCAGCACTCAAGGCCACCCGTGTTCATTACGCGTCGGTCTCGTCTGAGCCAATAAATTGAGTTGTTGGGTGGGTGTTGATATCAGTTTCAAACCACGAAAAGAATATCATTTCTATTTCCCCTAGATCGGATGCCAGTTGTTATGGGTCGTTCCCTAGCCACTGTGGGCAAACATATTTAGTCCGGGTGGATACAAATTTTATTTTCCGCACTGATAACATCCTGGCGAAACCGGCAGAACCAGCGGAACTATTCTGTCATTCATTGACCTACTTATCTAGCTATGCACTTCCATAACACTGATGAACACACTATTTTCTTCTGAATTTAAAATATCTCAACCTAATTTGCCAACTTGTTTCAATACGGGCGATTCACAAAAGTGCGCCTCCAAGAGTTTACAACGCGTTGACCAATCACAACGCGCAAAATCTGTCGACCCTTTCCAAACGCGTATTGAGTCGACAGATTTTGCATATCGTGAGTGGTCAACGTGTTGCAAACTCTTGGAGGTGCACTACTGTGAATCGCCCGTATTGCCTCTCACTTTCTCAATGGAAGCATGGATAACTCGCACTTAGTCCAATATACGCACAGTTTATTATTTCCATTCCCGATCCCCTGAGACCCCAAGCTAACTACGACGAGGTCGAAAATAACAAATAAAATATGCATAGGCCTATTGTTAAGCACAACAAAGAGAGCGTATAATCTCGGCTGTCTCATGGATCCTAAAAGACTATCGCCCGGATGTTAAGAGAAAGCAAAGGATTTCGTATCATTTGGACTATACAACCGCCGATACAATCTCTGGACATCATCGTTTGACTGATGAGTGAGCAAGACAGGGTTAAAATGAACCGTGTAAAGAAACTTCAGAAGTTTTGTAACCTGGTATTCTTACAAATGAAAAAAAGAAAATTTCTCTGGTAGCCTGTAAGTATTATCTAAGATTAAGATGAACTTGCGCCAGATAATGTCGATGAGGCCTATGAGAATTTCTTACATTGTGTATGACAAAAACTTTCCACAGTGTGAGCTCCGAAGTTATATTAATAAGTCAAAACCACCTTGGATAACGGAAGGAATCTATAACTCAATCAGAGAAAAAAATCTGCATAAAAATATCTTCAGAATCCTACAGTTCATAATAAATCTGCCAACATAAAGTTTAAAAACAAATTAACATGTGTTATAAGAATGGCAAAGAAAAATTACTTAGGTGAACAATTTAATAAAGAGAAACATAATGTTAAAAATACATGGGAGCTTATTATTTCATTGCTCAGTAAAACGAACGTTAAACAAAATCCGTCCTATTATACGCAAAATGATGCTAAAATTGATTTTGACATTGATATTGCTAACGCTTTCAATGATCATTTCATTAACATTGGCAAGAAGTAAGTGAACTTCCTCAATCAAGCAGTTCATTTGAACACTTTCTTGGTGAAAGATGTGCATAATCTTTATTTTTCGGCCCTGTTACCGAAACAGATGTAGCGCGTATTATTGCCAAACCTACCTTATTAGTTTGAATAATGAAAATCAGATCATGTAATCATGCCAATTTACTTCCATTCTTTAAAGGTCTGGTCTCCACATCTAGCACATCCATCTTTAACTGTTGTCTATCCTGCCAGTGTATCCTACTGTCTTGTCTCATGTCTCCTGTCTTTCTTGTCCAGTCGGAACCATTGTTTGTGAAAACAGGAAAAGCCAAAACCATTATGCTTCTTTTTTCCCTACATGTTGGTAATGGTTTAGACAATGTACAATAATATCAAACTTAATACACCAGTTCCCATTATCTGTTTCAACAAATTTCACTATGCATGTACGATTTTGATGTACTTTGGATTCCTAAAAACTAGGCTCGATTATAATTGTCCGTCCTCCACAATTACATTGTGATACATGTGGAAATTAATCTTTAGCCCATGGAAATTACACTGTTAAGTTCTGCACGTTCAGCTATAGCCGAAGATGAAATAATTTCCCTGCAGCAGGAGTGTGCCACGCAATTTTCAGAAATAATAAAGTATAACTATAATTTCCTTCGGCAATGAGCTTCCCATCCCATCCCATCCAGGGGAAAAAAGAAAATATTCTCAGTTTCATGACGAGGAAACTAGATATAAACACCCATCTGACAACTCAATTGGCTCAGGACCAGACTTATTAGTAATGAACACGGGTAGCCTTGAGTCCTGGTGGACTACGGTTATAGGGAACACGTGTTTATTTGGTGCTGGAAGAGGTTTCGTTAAGTTGGCATCGATGTAGTTTCACCGGTCTTTCTTCATCGGTCAAAAGAGATCGTTCAATCGATGTAGGGAACGATCGATGTAGGGAACGATCAATCGATGTAGGGGACGATCGATCGATGTTGAAGAACGATCGATGTGTTGCCTCCAAGTTTTTGCCTCTTTGGCGTTCCATATTATGTACACGTTCATGTACATGTACACACTGCATATACATTGTATACACCACACCGCAGGACCCCACGTAGTTGTGGAACGTCAAGTGCAACGCATGCACGGTATTGGGGTCCAGTCGCATGTAAAATACTAAGCTTTTGTGTCATTGTGAATTTCGGGACGTGTGCATGAAAGTCGACTCGAAAATCCAGCTCTGTGGGGGATAACGCTTGTGTGACGAATGGTAGACAGAAGTATCTATACAAACTGTCACAGCAGGTGATCGTCGCCAAGAGCCCTATAGGCTTACATGCATAATGCACGGTACATCTGCATGTACAGTACATTTCTACCACTCACTTCTCTTTTCACAGAATTCATTATTTCAAGTGGGCTACGTGTGTGTTGAAAATTTGACAATTAGTGGCCTTCATAGTTTATTATCACTTCAAACATGGACAACCCATGTTGAAGATGAAGCTAAATTTAGCCGTGGTTGTGTTTCAATCATAGGAATCTCATTTAATGAACAGGGTTCGACATGTTAGGGGGTATATGAGTGATAATTCAAACACGGAGGAACTTGAAACCATTATTCATTAAAGTTAAACATTACACCATGACGACAATGGGTCTAAATGCCAGTGAGGGCACCGAGGACTTCACTGCACGACGTTGAAGTTCACGAGAGCCGACTAACTCGCATATTCGCCGATGTGAATCCATGTTGGGCGAGCGTGCGTGTTCACATGTACACAAGTCATGAACCTACACAATGCGCGAAACTGAGGTGCCGATTTGGATAGGTAACAATAGTCTAGAGTGTGTATAAGGATTGGACGTGGGAAGGGGGTTACCCATCGGCCCCATATCGTGCACGGTATCTTTTGCGAGTGACCTTTGAATAACTCTGGTCAATTTCAATTCTCCGAACTAAAAACGCTGCTGCTATACCTCGTGACCCGGGGCAGGCTTTTTGCTTAGTTACACACGAGACGCCTTGCAATAGTACACTATTCCCAGTAGAAAAGAAAGGCACAAAGGAACCAGTCCATTCCAGAGATGCTGGTCGCGATATGCAAAAGCTTACCCCGAATCACGAGGTATAGCAACAACATCGTTAGTCGGGGAATTAAATTGTTACTTTCGTGTGCAATCAAATAACTCAGTGTAATAGATTTTATTCAACTCACAAGTGGCTCATTGGACAATTCGCAAAAGGAATATTCCAAAAAATAAACGGGGGTGTTCGGGAAAATGAAAGTAAAGTTCTCGAACAAAATCGTTGGAAATCCATCATATATTGACTTCTTTTGACTCTTTGACTAAAAAGGTATTTATGTATGAGAATAAATAAGTGCTTGGCAGGTCTTGAACGCACGTTTAAGACCGGCCAAGCTCATATTTATTTCCTTGATAAAAATCTCGGTAGCTTTTTTTTACACGTTCCACTGCAATTAGGTATTGGTTATTTCAGAAATTAGTTGTTCCGTGTTCATTATTTTGGAACAATCTGTCTTCTGGTCCGTTGCCTACACAATACCAACCAATAATATCGAGATGATACGTTAATCCATACACTACCCACCAGTGTTGTAGTCGAGTACTTTTTCCGAGTACCAAGTACTGCCGAGTACAAAGACAGGGCTAGTACTTTGCTGGCAGCCGAGTACAAGTACTGGTTTCCGAGTACAAGTACTTGCACTTCTGAGTACGAGTACAAGTACTTCTAATTCAAAAGTGGTTTTATCTTAATTTAGAGACTCTAAGACCTACCACTGTGTAAAAGAAACACCAAATACAGCTGACATGGCTACAAGAATAAGTGATCTGGCTAGCAATGTCAAGGTCACTACACTGCGTTGCAGCAGTTGACACAACGTCTATTTTCCAGACTCAATTGTTCACTTGCCTGTGATTTTCTGTATGCTGGGTGCGTTGTTAGAATTTTCGAATCCAGGAACCAGACTGCCAACGCCCAAATAAATCGCGGGACCATTCTGGAGTACCACAATACAATTTGCGCACAGTACGTACGCGCACAGACGGCCAATGGGTCGTATACGTTTATGGTCTCCCGTTCGGCCTTCTCTTTACCAGAACCGTATCGAATATCGGGTCATTGGAGTCGATGTTTTTGTACCTTACTTTAACGGCCGTAGTAAGTTAACTTAAAGGATTTTTATCGAGTACTGTTAATCGAGTATGAGTACTTTGATGCTCGAGTACATATTTTGGATGTCGAGTTTTGGGTATTTTGTAGCCCAAGTACAAGAACTGTAGTTCGAGGACGAGTACTTGGACGTCCGAGTACAAGTACGAGTACAACGGTACTCGAGTAGTACTCGAGTACGAGTACCGAGTACGAGTACTACAACACTGCTACCCACATTCTACGTGACACCCAAGTGCATGCGCACTATTGCTAACCCGCTCTCTACCAAGTACTACTAGGCTAAGCTAAAGATAGCTGCTTAAATCACGACTTACTTGCTCTGAAGATGATCCTGTCCATGAAGTTTCCAGTGTTGTAGTACTCGTACTCGGTATTCGTACTCGAGTACTACTCGAGTACCGTTTTCAGAGTACTCGTACTCGGACGTCCAAGTACTCGTCCTCGAACTACAGTTATTGTACTCGGGCTACAAAATACCCGGAACTCGACATCCAAAAAATGTACTGGAGCATCAAAGTACTCGTACTCGATTAACAGTACTCGATAAAAAATCCTTTAAGTTAACTTACCACGGCCGTTAAAGTAAGGTACAAAAATATCGACTCCAATGACCCGATATTCGATACGGTTCTGATAAAGAGAAGGCCGAACGTGACACCATTAACGTATACGACCCATTGGCCACCTGTGCGCATACTTAACCAATCACATACGCAAATTATATTGTAATCAGAATGGTTCCGCGATTTACTTGGGCATTGGTAGTGTGGTTAGTGGA